TGGAAACTTTTGGCCATGGATGACCGTCCAAGCTAAGTGGATGGTCGTCCATGGCCTTAAAGTTTCCATGGACGGCCATTTACTTGTCCTGGACGGCCATCTGCCATTTCTGGGCGGCCATCCGCTTGACCTAGATGACCATTTGCTGTCTCCGACGGATTTCCCGATTTTTAATGCCTCTAAAAACCCTTCCTATCTTAAATGAAACCTAGAACAAACTACTAGGGACTTACTAAAGTCTTGACCATCTTCGAAACGGGTGATCTTCGGCTTTATTAGAGAGTCGGACGAGATTTGTGGTCTACACCCACCAACCAGAACTCATAGATGGGTCGATGCTTACCCATATGAGCATGCTCATCCGACAAGGGATCGGATGGGTACTACACCCTCTCCTTGCTATGGCACTCGATATTCACGAGATGGATGCATTAGAGTCACAGGAGATCCCCGAGCCTCCAGAATTCCAGCAGCAGCAACGACAATATGGGGATGACTTTTCCAGTTTCCATCAGCATATAGACAACGAGAGAGCCTATATGGAGAGGCAATTTCAATATATGCGCCAATAGTTTGATCAAATGACCTTAAGGCAGGAGGGTAAAGATCAAGGGCATGAAAGATTGAGCCATAGGGTGGAAAACCTTACACGAGAGGTGGATGAAATTGGCGGGAACTTAAACATGATCCAAATCCAAGAGGAGTTCAGCGCCGTATGCTCAAGTAGATTCCCCTCACCGAGCACCTTCCTCCGCGTCCACTCAGAGCCATAGGGTTGAGACGTTACAACGTTTTCTCTGTTGTTGTTTTTATTAGCAGAATAATTTTGATAGCTGCTAGTTTACAAATAAATGTACTACGAATTTCCAAAATAAATAAATAAATAAAAATCTCTCTCGCTTGCATTACTCACATGCCTTTCCACCCATTAAGAAAAAGCCCGCGTACATGAAAGAAAAGAAAAAGAAAAAAGGCATACGCGTTATCCTAAAAAAGTCAAATTTCAAATTGTGAAAAAAAGAAAAAATAAATCGCGGAAAAAGGTAAAATCAAATAAGAGCTTCCAGTAGTCAAAGCTCCACCCATCATCCTTCTTCCCAAGAAAATAGAGGTACAACTGTTAACCCAAAGCAAAGCCAACGGAAAGGTTTAGTTACCCCCACATGAATGCTTGCCTACTCCAAAGGCAAAACAAAAATACTCCTCATGGCTCAGCATTGCCATCACATTGAGTCAGTAAGCATACCCACCCATTCTCCACCACATTCACCATAGGAGAATAAAGGCTACACAAAAGCCTATCGCCAACCATCAAGGAGTCAAACCTCCGCCCCAAAGAAAACTAAAAAGAAAAAGAAAAGAAAACCCTTCATCCCTAACAGGATGTCCAAAAGAGAAAGGGTCACGGCAGAAGAAGGCCAATAAAATCCCCAAGTGGATCACCCCAAAAGTCGGAAAGAAAACTTGGAATCAGAAATTCCATTTCCCCCAACGGAATAAGAGCTTCACAAAACCAGCTCATATCAACATCAAACAAGGAGCCAAAACTCCGTCCCCCAGAGGGCAACCAAAATCAAATCCCCAGGAAGTCAACCATTTCTCTGGTGGATCAACAAAAGGAGAAGTATATCCCTAGTGGATCCTTGCCTACTTAGAGGCATCATCAGAATCAACAAATCCCAGTGGATTCCTGCCTACCTAAGAGGCATTCATAAAAAATCTCTGGCAATCTACAAAGCCGGATGGCTAATAAAAAAAGCCCAAAAATCAAGAATCTCGACATACCGGATGACTACACCAGAAAAGTCAACAACAATTTTCAAACAAAGAACTACTCCCCAAGGAGTCGGCACATGATCAGGATTAGAAAGCCGCCACCATATTCTTTGTCTGAAGGGTCAACCACCACAGCAAAAGGGGCATCCGAAAGACAGAGTTCCATATTCATTAGCCGAAGGGTCAACTACCTCGTCAAAGGAGCATCCTAAGGTATAGCCTTACAAACAAGACTCAAACCCAATGGGGGGTTCATACCCATCAAACTACATCCATCGCCCGGAGGATTAGCGCTATAGTAAAAGAGCATCCTGAAGACAATATCTTCATATACATCGTCTGAAGGATCAACTCCAAAGCAAAAGAGTATCCTGAGGACATAATCTACCTTTACCATATGAAGGGTCAGCTTCCGCAGCATAGGAGCATCCTGAAGACAAAAGTCTATATACACTCACCGTCCGAAGGGTCAGCTACCACATCAAACGATCATCCTGAGGTAAAACCTGATGAGGGTTCATACTCATCAACCAAGGGGATAGCTACCGCATCAAAGGAGCATCCCAAGGCCACCAAACCTGATAAGGGTTCATACTCATCAACCAAGGGGTCAGCTACCGCATCGAAGGAGCATCTTGGAGGTTCACATTCATTGTCTAGAGGGTTAACTATCGCACCAAGGGAGCATCCCAAGGACGAATCGGTAAGAGGGTTAACTCCTTCACCCACCATCCGGTCTTACAGCGCATTCACCAGCAGTCGGTCTGGCAGTTGAAGTGGGGGCAACTGTAGACCCCAAATCTTTCTCGGTCAAACAACAACTCTCAGAAATCTTCCATTTTGAAGATGGATAGGGCTTCATTAAGCCCCTAGTATCATTTTCTAAGCTTCGTTTAAGAAAATTAGGGTTTTTAGAAAATAAAAAATTAGAGATGTCCTCAAAAGGAAGTGGACGGTCGTCCAAGCTTATCAGACGACCGTCCATGCTTATTTTAAAGCCACGGACGACCGTCCATGCTAACTAGACGGTGACGGCCGTCCATACTTATCTTAGGCCATGGACGGTTGTCCATCTTGACCAGACGGCCGTCCATGCCCATTTTGAGCCATGGACGGCCGTCCATATGGACCAGACGACCGTCCAGTCTTCCTGGTGCGTTTCCCTATAAATAGGACCTCATTTTCCTCATTTCCACACACTTTCACACACTTCTCTCACCCTAGAAGGCATTCTTAGACCTCTAGGTGACTCTGAGCATTATTCCGAAGTCTGAGTGATCTTTCAGACACTCGTGAGTTGATTTTTCTTTCCCTTTGGAGGGAGGAGCATCATTGTAGAGCGACAGGATTGCCAAAAAACATCCTCAAGTTTCAAGATTTTATAAAAGCTCATTTCGGAGGTTCTTTTCTCTATTCTCTCTTTTATCGCTTTCCTTTACTGCTTTCCTTTGTGTGCATTAGATATTAGAGCCATGTAGATAGTTATTTAAATATCGCGATGAATAAATAGGGTAATAGCATAATCTCTAGGATCTTTATTTTTCAAATTAATCTATCATAGGGAACCCGAAAGGGGCATTGTAGGGTGCTAACACCTTTCCCACACGTAACTAACTCCCTTACCCAACTTTGGTTATAATGGCAAAAGTTGGTTTTCTTAAAACCAACGCATTCTTTTTCTTTCCTTTTTCGATGTTTATGGTCAAAACATCGGTAGCGACTCCTTAGAACCCTTTTGCGAAAACCTCACTTTCAGGGATAGTTCGGTTATCGGACGTCCTAAAAGCGATGATCAATTTACTTTATAAAAATACGAGTCCAGTCATCATATTGTGACAATTCGCTTCCCTCTCAAAGACCCCTGAAAACGCCCCGAGCCATCTTTTCTGGGAGAGAGAGGAAACGACGTCGACAGTAACTTTATATTTTATTCATTAATTATGTTTTTAAAGTGTAAATACATATTGAATAATATATGACTTTTTTTCAATTAGAATCGTATCCGGAACTAATGTTCTAAGTGGAAGACCCGAACAAAGAGTTTGCACTTCATTTACCTTAAGGTTAGAAACTTATTTATATAAGTGAACACCATAATTATTATTCGTATTTAAATTTTCAAAATAATATTAGGTTTTATTCATCATTTCAGTGTAATAAGAAAACAAACTCATTTGAATGTGGTTACTATGTCATGTATTGGATGAGAGCCATAGTTTGTGTGGGTATAACTGATTCTTGGACGAAGCTAATTGCTTTCAACATTAGTTAAGTTTATTTAACTTTATGCGTATTGCATGTTTACAAGAGTCAAATTAATGTTTCAGGTATTTCAAGATCTATCTCCATTGCTAGACCATGATATCACACAAATTAGAGAACAATGGGCAAGGTTATTCATTCAACAATTCTGGTACTTAGTTTGTAGGTTATTGTTGGTATTATATTATGTATTATGTAGTTAATGTAGCTTAGTTTGTACTAGCTTTTAGTTTGTAGGTTATTTTTTGTATTATATTGTTTTATTATGTAGTTTAGGCAACCTAGTTTTTGTACTAGCATGGTGTATTAATTTAACATTTGTAGTTTGAATTATATATAATATTGTATTTTTTATTTTTTATATATTTGCAGGTTTTTGTTGTAAGACAAAATAAATCCAATAATAAAAAAAGGACAAAATTTGCGTCGGACATGCACACATCCGACATAAATTTCGTCCAATTTTTAAAATATTTGAAGCCTTTTATGTCAGTTTTGTGATATGTGCAACATAGATTAAAGTCGGGTCTTGATAACTGACGTGAATTTACGTCGGTCAAAGGATCCGACATAAATTTACATCTATCGTATTAACGTCGATCTTATACGAGATGTAAAAGGTTCAAATTAACTAACGTAAAAGCCTCATTCTGCACTAGTGATTACTCTCCATAATAATGTTTACAAAATAGTTGACAAAAACATAAAAGAATAGAAACTCTTCGGTCAAACTTTGAGCACCATACTTCTAGTGAGAAACATAGTATTAATCCCTATTCCCCTCTATACGATTTAGGATTTAGATGACTATTTTATTATTTTTTGCAACAGTCTTATCAATTATTCACCTAGGCTTCTATTGGTGATTCATGCCCTTAATATTGATCAAATTGTTACTAAAACTTCATAACCAAATTCTTTGGACAATTATGTATTTTCTTTATTGGTTGATTGTGTCTTAGCCATACTTCAAACAGAATGGGTTTCTAGTATGGTCGAGGGAGCTTATTCAACCACAACATTTTTGCCTCATTCAAATGTCGTTTCAAGCCATTTAATAGTACCTTGCATACATTCTTTACTTGGTCGCCTCGTTGTGGATGTGTACTAATATAAAAATTTGTTTGAATTTTAGGTCTAAACAAAATCGTCATACTTGGAGGCTAGCAAACTGCATTTCAGTATTAATGATCATTACTTCGGGACTTCAAAGAATAATATCTGCGCATAAAATAGCTTCAAATTCTTTTACGAAATTTCAAATATACAAGAAATAGCAGCTAATTTTGCCTATTAAAATATATTTACAAAAAATACTTAAGAATTATTTACAAAAATTAATTGCATGAAATGCCTGGGAAATTTTACTGCAACAATATTAATAAAATTTAAATTCGTTGCTAATAAAGTTTTGAAAATTAAATTGGTAGGAATTTGAAATTAATTTTTTGTAAATTTTTCATAGATAAAAGTTTGCTGGAAAGATTTATTTATAATATTTTAATAAATGGGAGAATACTTAGACAACATTTCTTACAATTTTTTAATAAATATTTTGTCATTAAATTAATTATAAAAATATTTTATTTATTAATAACTTTGTTTTAAGATAGTATTATTTCTTATTCACTATATATATATATATATATATATATATATATATACACACAAATAGTTAAAATAATTTTAATAAAAATAAATATATTAATTTATATATTATAAAATTTATTAAATATTGATTAATTTAGAGATAAAAACAATATTTAATCATTATATTTTTTAAATTTGAGATTATTTTAAAAATTGAAATTATTTTTCTCTAAAATAAACTTTATCATCACAATTTTTTTAAATATAAATAATGATTAAATTTTTGTGGCTAACAATCGTAAGAATTATTCATTTATTTAGAAATTTTATTTTATATAAATAAAACAATATTTTGGGCATTACTAATTTGTTTAAGAGACTATTTTGTCTAAAACAAAAGAAATTTCATTCTCATTGGTATTAATTAATTATTATATTAATATTTTTAGTTGTTATTGATAAAATAATTACATGTTGTAATAAAATAGTTTTGGTATTGGAAATCAAATTATTTATCAAAATAAAATATAAAAAAATCATAATTAAAAAAGATAGAAAGATATGGAAAGAAAAATCATGCACTACTGCAGAAAAGGCTTTCTATGTCGGTTAAATTGGGTTTTCTATGTCGGTTAAAGAGGCGACATAGATACGAGAGTCATAGAAAGTATGAATTTTTATGTCGGTTGTTATGAACCGAAATAGAAAGTATGACTTGAAAATTTATATTGGCAAGATTCGAACCCAATACATTGTAGTCTAATCGGTTGTTATGAACCGACATAGAAAGTATGACTTGAAAATTTATATTGGCAGGATTCGAACCCAATACATTGTAGTCTAGAATTAGACCAACCACTAAACTACTACGATTTTTATTTATTTACAATTACATTTCCTTTATATTATATTTTATAATATATTATTTTATTATCTATTAGAAGTGTGTCATTAGCAAGATTCAAACCCAAGTACCTTAGATTTGAAGACTAATACTCCAACCACTAAGCTACTATAATTTTCTCGATAAATAACTTACAAATAAATTATATTTATATACAAAATATATAAATACAAATATATTTATATATTTTGATATATTTATATACTTATATATTTAAATTTTTTATTTAATATACACTTTCTATGTCGGTTAAAATTTAACCGACATAGAAAGTGAATTTGCTCACATACCATGTCGGTTATATAACAACCGACATAGAAAGTTTATAATATTATTACAAAAATGTCACTGCTCTATATACTATGATGGGTGGATTACAATCGTCATAAAAAATCGTCATAGAATCATATTTTTCTACTAGTGATGAGAGAGTGGTTGAAAGGGTTACGAAGCTCAAGAGAAAGAGGGTTTCGGAGTTGTTACTTCTTAGAGTAGATAAGAAATTTTCTATTTGGATTTTGCGACAAGGCTTCGATTTGCCACGAGTTTTGTAAGAGAGTTGTGATGAGCTTCAGTAGAAAAATGACGTCTCGTTCAAAGCATCAAGGGAAATTAGGTTAATGAAAAAGGAGAAAACAATTTCGATGATTACAACAAGGACAACTATGTTAGAAACGGTGGAAGAGTGGTTCAAAACCTTCTTCATCATCTGTTGAAGGTAACATGATTTTTTTTTTCTTAAAATTGTTAGTTCATGCCTTAGTGCCTTATTTGGCGTAAAAATAATGTATTTTTGGTTTCAAATGCAGAAATTGGGATTTAGCATTAGTGTTGGTACAATTTTTTTTGCAAAAGTAAATTAAGAAGAGATTTTTTTTTTCAAAAATATTCTTGGCGAATTTTTTTTTGGCAAAGTTTTATTTTTAGAAACTTCTCCTACTATAATTTATCCCCGCATGAACAATTTTTGTGAATTTGTTTTTATAATAATGTTTATTGTGAATTTCTTTTTGCGCATAAAATCTTGCAATAAATTTTGTGCAAATTTAATATTTTTATGAAACCAAATGTCCCCAGGAGGTATTGTTGAAGATACAAGGATATGAATGTTGAACATACAAGGATATGAAGCTTGTAGATTTTGATGATGATTCAAGAATAAAGGGCTTAAAGATTTGAAGACTTGTAATGTTATGTAATAACTCTATTTTTATGTTTTTGAGTCTGTAATATTAGAGTCCAAGATAGCCAGCACATAGACCACTCTTTAAAAGTTCTAAAAACATATTTTTATCAAAAATACACTGGATTAATCGATTAAATGGCAGGATAATCGATTATTACAGAAAGAAAACCATTTTCAGCATTTACTCTCTGGAATAATCGATTAAATGACCTGTTAATCGATTAAATGGTGTTGTTTTTTATCCTCTGCGAGAATGGCTCTGGAATAATTGATTAACACTTAAGATAATCGATTGTTTGGGTCTGATATGTGTTTTGAAATTCAAAATTGGACCAAGTTTCGAAAACTTTATTCCCAATTCATTCAATTTCGAAAATTCCCAATTCCCAAACCCTAATCTCTCTACTTAAGGTTCTCTAAGACTCTCTGCAAAATGAACAACCTTTTTCATACAAAAGTTAAGAGTTGTGACTGCCAGAGAACTGTTTGTAGGGAAGAAAAAGGGGTTTTTGAAACCTAGTGTGGGCTAGAAGCGATAAAAATCACTGAGTGGGTTTCTTGGTGGATTTGTGTTGTGCCGTCTGTAGGGAAAGTGGTTCTTCATCCTTTGTGGATTCAAAGGAGGTGTTGATCTCTTGTGTGACTCAAGAGAGGTGTATTCTTTACCTTATCTTTTCATTTTTTATCTGTTTGTAAAACTGTGATTATAGTGACAGCGTTAATCCTCTGTTTGAGTGATTAGCAACTGGACGTAGGGTCTTTTGATTCGAACTAGTATAAATCGACTGTGTAATCTTCTATCCCTTCTCTATTTACTTTACACAACATTTTAATCGGTGATATTTGGGAAAAATTTTAAAACCCTAATTTGTGTTTGAGAAACCAATTCACCCCCCCTCTTGGTTTTTGTCCGTAAACACAAACATTCTGCTGCACGATTCTAACAAGTGGTATCAAAACTTGCTTTGATAGTCATTCAATTTTTGAAAATGGCCGGACAAAATCAAACATTTGTCGAGGGTGCTTCTATCAATAGACCCCCACTCTTTGTGGGGCAAAATTATCCTTTTTGGAAAGTTAAAATGCAAATATTTTTGGAGTCTATTGATAGAGGTGTTTGGGACGCAATTTTAAACACTCCCTTTATTCCTAAAATTACTGAAAATGGAGAAGAGGTACCAAAACCATTTTCTAGATGGTCGGCTGAAGAAAATAGAAAAGCCCAATATGATGTTAGGGCTAGAAATATAATTTCATCTGCTTTAACCTTTGATGAGTTTTACAGGATATTGGTTTGTAAGAGTGCTCAAGAAATGTGGGAAATGCTAAGAGTAACTCACGAAGGTACCGATGACGTTAAAAGAGCAAGAAAGAACTCATTGATACAAGAGTATGAGATGTTCCAGATGCAACAAGGGGAAACAATTTTTGACGTTCAAAAGCGTTTCACGCATATAGTGAATCATCTCACCGGGTTGGGTAAAATTTTTGATATTGATGAATTAAATGTAAAAATTCTGAAATCTTTGGATAGGAAATGGCAACCTAAGGTGACGACCATCATGGAGTCACAAAATCTTGCCACAATGTCTATGGCAGCGCTCTTTGAAAAGTAGAGAGAGCATGAACTTGAACTTGGAAGGCAAAATGATGAAGAAGGTCAACATCAAAAGAGGAACCTAGCCTTCAAAACTGAAATTTCCAAAAGTAAGAACAAGAAGGAGGAAGAAGACTCGGAGAATGAAGATGATGAGAATTTGAGTCTCATGATAAAGAAATTCACAAAGTTCATGAAATCCAAAGGGAAGCAACCCTTCAAAGGTAAGGGAAAGGTAAGAGAAAGTATTTCCTTAAATATTAAATGTTACGGTTGTGGTGAAACAGGACATGTAAAAACCGATTGTCCAAACAAGAAAAATGAAGATCATAAAGGCAAGAAATTCTTCAAGAAGAAAGCCTACATTGCTTGGGATATTAGTGACTCAAGTTCGGAATCAAGTGATTCGGAAATTGAAGCTAACATTTGCTTGATGGAAAAAGGCAACATATCTTCCGACTTTGAGGTTAGTCATTCCGACTCTTCCTTAAGTGATGATGAAAATGACTATGATGCTTTACAAAATGCATATGGAGAATTGTTTACTTCTTTTAAGGACTTGAAAAATGAATATAAATATGTGAAAAAGTGTTTGAATAAATCCGAAAAAGAGGTGGAGTCCTTAAAAACGAAAATTGTATGTTTAGAGGAAAAAGATAATAAGAATATAGCATGTGCATCATGTAAAGAGTATGAACATGATATTGATATACTTAGCCATTTGCTTGATAAAGCTAAGAAGGAAATAAGTGATAGTTATAAGGATAAAGCTATTGCTCAAAAATAGAGAAAAGTGTCATGTTCCATTGAAAAAGCCTAAAATTAGAAATAGAAGAGTATGGGTTGAAAAAGGAACTAAAACTTCAAAAGTTAAAAATATATCATATTCAAATATTACATCCAATGCATGCTTTTATTATATGAAACATGGTCATACTTCAAATAGATGTAGAATTAAGCATTTTGGTGTTCCTAAAGGAAAATATGTTTGCGTTCCTATAGTTAAATGATTTGATTGTCTCTAACCCCAAGGACCCAAAAGTTGTGGGGACCTAAGATTATCATGTTCTTGTTTTGTAGGAAACTTCCAAATCCAAGAAGTCTATGTGGTATCTTGATAGTGGATGTTCAAAACATATGACCGGAGACAAAACGAAATTTGTGAGTTTAAAGCTAAAGAACAAGGATATGTAACCTATGGGGACAACAACAAAGGAAAAATACTTGGAATCAGAAACATTGGTGGTGCAAATACTTTGGAGATAAAGGATGTGCTTCTTGTTGATGGACTAAAGCATAATCTCCTAAGTATAAGTCAACTTTGTGACAAAGGATTCAAGGTAATTTTTGAAAGCAAATTTTGTACCATACATTTAAAGGATTTCGAAAATATAACATTGAAAGTTATTAGGCATAATAATATCTATTTGATTGATTTGGATTGTATACCTAATAATAGTATAACATGCTTAGTTGCTAAGGAAGAAAACTCATGGTTATGGCATAAGAGAGCGGCTCATATAAATATGCATCAATTAAACAAATTAATATCAAAGGACTTGGTTGTTGGTTTGCCTAAGTTAAAATTTGAAAAAGATAGATTATGTGATGCATGTCAGAAAGGTAAACAAGTGAAATCATCCTTTAAATCTAAGAATGTTATTTCCACATCAAAACCTTTAGAACTATTACACTTAGATTTATTTGGTCCATCTAGGATAAAAAGTTTTGGTGGAAATTATTATGCTCTTGTAATTGTTGATGATTTTTCTAGATATACTTGGACATTTTTCTTAACATTAAAAAGTGAAGTTTTTAAGGTCTTTATGAAGTTTTCCAAGCAAATCCAAAATGAGAAAGACTTAAGAATTAAGGTGTTAAGAAGTGACCATGGTGGAGAGTTTCAACATGAATGGTTTGAAAATTATTGTGAGGAAAATGGTATTTTGCATAATTTTTCTGCACATAGGACTCCCTAACAAAATGGTGCAGTAGAAAGGAAAAATAGGTCACTAGAGGAACTTACTAGAACAATGTTGAATGAATCAAATGTTCCTAAGTATTTTTGGGCTGATGCTATAATTACTGCATGTTATGTATTGAATAGGATGCTTATTAGGCCAATTATAAAATCAATTCCTTATGAATTGTTAAATGGTAGAAAGCCTAATATTTCTCATTTAAAAATATTTGGATGTAAATGCTTTGTTTTAAATAATGGAAAAGATAACTTAGGAAAATTTGACTCAAAAGCCGATGAGGGCATTTTCTTAGGTTATTCACTAACTAGCAAAACATATAGAATGTTCAATAGAAGAACTTTAAATGTTGAAGAATTTGTACATGTCATCTTTGATGAAATTGTAGACCTTGAGGGAAATCCTCTTGAGTCAAATAAATAACTTGCAAGTGATGATGAGTACATAAGAGAGGCTCTAGAAGAAATGCACTTGAATGAGAATGAGCCATCTCAACCAACTGAATTAGCAAAAGAGTGGCAATCACCAAGAGGACTTTCAATGGACAATATAATTGGTGATATCTCAAAAGGGGTAAGAACTAGAAATATGACCAATTTCTGTATGTCTGTAGCTTTTGTTTCACAGATAGAACCCAAAAGTGTTGAGGAAGCTCTTAAAGATGACCAATGGTGCATAGCAATGCAAGAAGAACTTAATCAATTTGAAAGGAATCAAGTCTGGGAATTAATTCCAAGCGAAGAATCTCATCAAGTGATTGGAACAAAATGAGTATTTAGAAACAAACTTGAT